AGCCAGGACAGGGGTGCAGAGGCACAGGGGTGCAGCCAGGACGTGGTGCAGAGGCACAGAGTGCAGCCAGGATGGGATGCAGAGGCATGGGGGTGCAACCAGGACAGGGGTGCGGCCAGGACAGGGGTGCAGAGGCACAGGGGTGCAGCCAGGATGGGGTGCAGAGGCACAGGGTGTGGCCAGAATGGGGTGCAGCCAGGATGGGGTGCAGAAGCACGGGGGTGCAGCCAGGATGGGTATGCAGAGGCATGGGGTTGTGGCCAGGACAGGGGTTTTGCCAGGACGGGGTGCAGCCAGGATGGGAGTGCAGCCAGAACAGGGGTGCAGAGGCCCAGGGATACAGCCAGGACAGGGTGCAGCCAGGACGGGRTGCAGAGGCATTGGGGGGGGCATGGGGCATGAAGACCCCTGTCCCAGCAGTCCACACAGAGGGATGCTGACAGAGGGAGAAGGCTCAGCGGTGATCTATCTGGGTTGGGGTGAGGGGGAGTATCTGAGCCAAGGTTACCTATGTTCTGAGGCAGTTTGTCCCACAGCAACGCCACATAGTGTAAGATATTCATGCACAGAGATTCCCACTAGAAAACATAGCTTGCCGCAGGGAAGAACTAAACAACAAGCACACACACACAATAAAACAACAAAACCCAGCCTTAAAATGTCCAGCAACTGGCTGGGTGTGGTGGCACATGCCTGAAATCCCAGTGACTCTGGAGGCTGAGGCAGGGGGATCATGAATTTGAGGCAATTTAGCAAGAGTCTGTCTCAAAATAAAATAAAAGGACTGGGGATGCAACTCAGTTGTAGAGTGCCCCTGGGTTCCATCCTCAGTACTGGAAGGAAAGAAAAGTCTAGCAACAAGGTTTATCGCCTAAGTAACAAACAGCAGTATTCGAGGAATGCTATGCCCTGAAGTGGAGAGGTGTCCCGGGTGCACTGCCATCTTAGGCCATCTGGGCTGCCATAGCAAAGCACATGACACAGAAATGTGTCACTGTTGGTTTTGGAGGTCAGGAAGTCCAAGGTCAAGGGCCAGCAGAGTCAGTGCTTGCTGYGGGCCTGTTTCCTGGTTGCTGGATGGTGCCCACCAGCTGTCTGCTCACATGGTACAGGARGGAAGGAAGCTCTTTGGCTTCCCTCCCAACCATGCTGAGGATCAAATCCAGGGTCCCACGTGTGTTAAGCAAGTGCTTCACTGAGTCACACCCCGACCCTCGGGGCCTCTTSTATAAGAGCACTAATCCCATTCAGGAGAACTAAGTGGCTTCCCAAAGGCCTGATCTCCAAACACTACCACACTGGCTTGCAYGTATGGATTTGGGGAGGACATAAGTAGCCAGCCTCTTCCCCTGACCCTAATGCTCGTGCCCTCACATGCAGAATAAAGTCAGTCCAGCCCACAGCCTGGCAGGCCTTGACTCCCCTACAWGGATGTCACAGTCTAGGCAGAGTCTCACCTGAGTGCTACCTGAATACAACCCCTGCAGTGGCCGCCTGCTCCCCAGCTGGGCACCTGGGAAGTCGGATGACAAACATGACAGTGGGCTGGCATTGGAAGGATGTCCCCAGTCCAAAAGGGAGAATTGGGAAGGAATAAAGAGTGACAGGTCCCCTGTAAGACGGATGCCCACAAGGGCCAACACTAGGGTCAGGCTTAGGAGCAATCTTCTCTGGCTGGACGTGAGACAGGCAGCCCCTCTCCACCTCATGTACTCCAGGGGCCTTGACGCAAGCTGGTCAGCTACTGAGAGCACAGGGGCCTTCCTACCCCTCACCCACTCACACTCTCAGCCTCAGAAACTAGGGTACTATTAAAGCCGGGACACCCCACCAGGACTCTTCACGACAAGTGACAGGGAAACAGCAGGTCTGGCCACGACCTGCCGTTGCAGGGTGTGTGCCCACCTGTGGGCTCTCAACAGGCAGCTGCTCACCTTCTCAGCAGGCAGAACTGGGCAGGTGGTCCTAGACCCAGGCCCTTCCCTCAAGATTGAGGCACCCACAGTGGACCCAAAGAGAATGCTTTAGAGAGGACCAGGAGCCAACTGAAAGCCCTAGAATCCAGCCCATCCCTGCAGGCAGCCCCTTCCTACAGAGCTCTCTCCCCGTCCAGGGCCAGCTGTCTCCCTTCTGCCTCAGCCCGTAGTCTCAGGAGTCTTGGAGTCTTGTCCCCTTGGATGGAGTACACAAGAAACCRCCCTGCAGGGGGCAGGTGCCTCCTAGGCCCACTGAGGCGGAGCTCCCACCTTCCAGACCCTCTGTGRGAGTGGCCTTGCCTCCCTCAGTTCTTGGCTAGGGTCAGGAAGCTGAGGTTCCCATAGCTGCGGCCTCTGAGGCCCAGGTAGAGTAGCCACCTCCACTGCTTCTGCGCCCTCAAGCTGGTGCTCATGAGGACAGCACTGAGGGTTCTACCTATGCCTCCAGAGGTCAGCCACTGGGGCCTGCACCACCCCTGCCACCAAAGACACATCAGGGTGGCTGAGGGGCAGGCAGTAGGGTGTGAAGGGCAAGCCTGGGCCAAGCACCCACTCACTCTGGGCCGTCTCCAGAAGGCCTCAGGACAGGCCTGGGCTCTGCTGTTGAGAAGCTCCACRCTTGGGTGGGAGGCCCTAGCCCAGCTGTCCCTGGTCAAATTTGGCCACCCTCATTCTCTCCTGAATAAGATTTCTCATTTTTTTTTTCTCAACATGAATAAGCTGAGATTTTCCTGAATTTTACATTCTGCTTCCCSGTTAACAGTTCTGCCCACGTCCGTCCGCCCTTCTCACCCTTTAATGGAAGCCCCCAAGAGGCTCCTTTAGCACCAGGCTTGGAGACTTCTTGAGCTCGAGATCGACCTTCACAGAACACTTGGACACAAGCCCAGCTCAGGCAAGTCCAATGACACCTATCGTGACCACTTAGAAGAAGGAGGCTTTCCCTACAAGCTCACTTTCAAAGCCTAACAGAATTAACCGTAAGACATGGGGACAGTGTGCTCACTCYCCCTGCCTCCCGCCCTGAGGTCCTCCTGGCTCTCTCTATGCAGCCTCCCTCTCCCTCCGCCTGGAACATCTTCCTTCAGAGAGGGCCACGGGGCCTTTTCACCTCCTTCAGGTTTGTGTGCAGATGTCTCAGCCCCTATTTCCATTGGATGCTCCCTGAGCACACGGGCTCCCACCTGCCTCTCCCGTCCCTCTCCACCTGGTCTTCCTAGTGGGCTGTGTCCCTGTGTGTTTATTTTGTGAATTCTTCACCTCAGCATCCTCCGCCTCCTGCACTTTAGCAGGAGCTGGGGATTGGGGATTGGGTCATCCTGCTGGCAGTCGTTTCCTGGTGGTGGGGGCTCGGCCACAGGCAGCTGCTCAGGGGCCTTGGATGAATAAGTGACCCAACAAGAGGCTTGGACATGAAGGTGAAGGGAGAGCCCCAGGGTCCTCCCGAGGCAAGTCAGGACTTCAGGGTTTACGTGGTCTATTTCCCCATAGGTGTGTCATTTCTATGATAAGATGAAGGCGTGCATCCAAACCATGGCGACAGACTGTCTTTTGGTGAACAGATGCTACCAGGTACTGAATGTAAGTGCCAAGGTGTCTGAGTACCTAACCTCACTTTGGTCAAGGAAACAATCGGGTGACGGTGTTATGGTCACTAAGAGATGAAGAACAGACTCTGAGGTGGAGTCACTTGCCAATGTTGCAGTGTGAGTCCTTGCTGCAGAGGGGATTCAAGGCCAGCTGTGGGCCATCCTCACCTGCAGCGGTCTCCCACTGAGTCCCACCTCCCGGCAATCGCAAAGAGACCCAGCTGCTCACCTGCGTCCTTGTCACCAAACATGTCCTGAAGCCAGCTCTCTTCTGTTTGTACCGACATTGGAACTCCTGGGTACAACCCTTTATAGATACTTCTGAAATCAGATAAGACGTCAGGTATAAGCAGACCTACCTGGTCGCTAGGAAGCTGCTGGGGGACTCTGTCTATTGTGGCTCTCCTCACGTCCCCASAGCCTAACTCTCATTTTATTTGAAATACTTCCCTCCATTCCCAGTCTCTTCCACAGAGCCAGGCGCAGGGTCGTTGGGCCCACTCTCTGGAGGGTCTTCCTTCCTAACCCTGCAGGCTTCAAGAGCTGCCTCGTCCCCGTGGACACCAGCACTACGCTGCAGGAGTGTGGCACTGTGTCACTGTGCAGCCGCTGCGGGCATGGAACACTCAGATTTAAGTGAGCACAGAGTGTTCATTTTCAGTAGCTTCAAAACTGCCCAGGCTCCTCTTGCAGGGCTGATGTTGGCCCATGTGCTGTAAGGAGCAGGCTCTGCTTCCACGTAGTGGGGTCCAAAGTTGAGCCCCGCAGGACGGAGGCAGGGAGGCAGGTGTGCGTGTAGTGTGGTCCAAGGTTGAGCCTGCGGGAGGGAAGCTGGGGGGAAAGGTGTGCGTGTAGTGGGGTCCAAGTTTGATCCCCATGGGAGGGAAGGTGGGGGCAAAGGTGTGTGTGTAGTGGGGTCTGCGGTTGAGCCCCGCAGGAGGGAGGCAGGGAGGCAGGTGTGTGTGCCTTGCGCTCCCTACAGTGACTCTTACTGGGGACTACTGTCAATACTTCGTTGGGGTTCCTTGGTCTCTGACTTTCAGTTTTACAAGATAACTGGCTGGGTTTTTGTAAGTACTCAGACAAYATTTTCCCAGACAACTCAGTCAGGTTCGGCCTGTGGCCTGTGTACCTTTCCAAGCCGAGTGTCTGTTTCTGGCTTCCTTTTGGTGGCTTGCTCCAGGGCACAGGCATCCCGAGGAGCTCTGTTGTTCACTTCTGAGCTGACTGTGCAAAGCCAGGCAAAGCCCTCCTCTGCGGAGGCCACCTGCATGTGCAGTCTCTGGGGGCATCCTGTTTACCTAGCCTCCCTGAGCAACAGGCTCTGGGGACGTGACAGCCACAGTGGACAGAGTCCCCAGACGGCAGTGAGCGTGGAGTCTCAGTCACCTTCCAGCCCAACAGTCAGCAACAGCAACAATCATCCACCCAGAGCTCTTCCCCTTCAGTAAGCCAGCTCCCCAGATTGTCCCTGGAGCTCTGCTGAACATGGGGGACAGAGGACGATGGCGGCACCACTCAGGATTCTCACGATCACAGAACSCAAGCAGCTGCTTGTCCTTGCTTTGTGAGACATGGACACTGAGGCTCGTGGCAGTGAGAGAACCTCCCTCACCCAGAACCTGTTTCTCCACAGGCATCTGCCTCCTGAGTGTGGCCCCATTTCCAACCCCAACAGCGAGAGGGCTGCGGAAATAGGGGTTGAGCCTCAGAGGTTGCTCTTTTAAGACACGTTTCTTTAAAAAAACAAAAGAAAAAACAACACTCATAATCTCATCAAATTCGCCAGAGAATACTTTGGAAACATGTGATTTTTAAATCAGAGCTTGATGGTGCACTTAGTAGCGGGTTCCTCCCAACAAGCCCGCACGTGACATCATTCACAAGCTGCCTGCTCCCTCCTGCTACACTCCCTTTCTCATCTGTTTATTTATATCCGAGTGGTTCTTTTCACTTGTACACAGGGTGAGGTTCCCTGTTGTGTATTTATAGACATGACATGAGTTTTAAGACTTCATGTGCCTCCTGGTGCCTCCTGGTGCCTCCCCGATCCACCCTCAGCCTCTTTCTTAGCATGTCAYGGACATTCCCTTTATGATGCTGCCTCCTTTCTCCTCCTCTCCTTTATTTTACTCTAGCTGCCTTCCATATATGAGACAAAACRTTCGACCTTCGAATGAGTTTGGCTTATTTCATGTAGCATGATACTCTCTGCTTTCATCCATTTACCAGCAATTTTTAAAATTTTTTTAATGGCTGAGTAGAAGATTATAGCTATCTAGTTTTCCCAGAACCATTTGTTAAAAGGCCATCTTTTCTCCAAGATATATTTTTGGCACCTTTGACAAATGTCAGGTGGCTATAGGTTTGTGGGTTTGTCTCTGTATCTTTTCTCCCATTCCATTTGTCTTCTTGCCTGTTTTGGTGACAAYACCCTGCTGTTCAGTTACTACAGGTCTGCAGTCATTTCAGATCAGGTATTGCGATGCCTCTGGTTTTGCTTTTCTTGCTTAACATTGCTTTGTCTATTCTGGGTTTCTTATTCTTCCAAATGAATTTAAGAATTGCTTTTTTCCCAGTTCTGTTAAGGTATGTCATTTGGTATTTTGATGGAGATTGCTTTGAATCTATATATTGATTTTGGTAGCATGGCCATTTTGACAATATTTGATTCTGCCTATCCAAGAACATGGGGTGGATTTTTGTCTTCTAAGGTCTTCATTGTAAAGCACGTTTCCTCCTTGGTTAGATTAATTTGTTTTGTTTTGTTTTGTTTAGGTTATTGTGAATGGGATGACKTTTCTGATTTCTTCCTCAGCTGAATCACTGTTGTAGTATACGAAAGCTATTGATTTACAGGTATTGATCTTATCTTCTGCTACTTTGCTGAATTCATTTGTAAGTGCTAGGCATCTTCTGGTGAAGTTTTTTGGTCTTCTAGATATAGAATCATGCCATCAGCAAACAGAGATAGTTTGATTTCTTCCAGAAAAAAAAATATTTTAAAGCATCTTCTTAGKAATATTTATGAGGAGAAATTGAAATTCTGACCTAGGAAAGAGAGATGCTCATGGACTTGAAATGATGTCACAGGACTCCCAAGTCAAGATGACAGCTGAGGACACACTTCTCGTTCCCTCCCAAGATTTTACCAAAATAACAGATACTCCCCCCCGCCCTGAAAACAAGATATTTTTGGTAGATAACTAATATGGAAGAAGTACTTRAGAGAAAGGCAATAAGTGGCTACAGAGTGACAGAAACCACAATAGAGAATCATGCAGCTCAAGACTAGTGATGAAGGGTCTTTCCAGAGGGCACAGGAAGCCTCCAGCTCAACTCGACCAAACCAGAGCACAGGGGTCTGGCAGCCCTCAGAGCAGTCTAAGGAGTGACCCTGGAGCCCTGGTCCAGGCAGCCCCTTCCTCCCTCTTCAGCAGGGCAGCTGGCAGCCCTTATTTCCAGAAGAACCCAAGAGCAGCTTTCTCAAATACTGAGCAGTCTCCTGGGGAGGTGTTAGCCCTGGAAGAGAAGGTCATGCAGGACATGCCCCACGGGCTCGGGAAAGAAGGACTTCCACCAGAAAGTGAGCGTTCTTGTCCTAACTCTAGCAATGGTGGGGCTCCTCAGCCCGACTGCTTTCTGCCCAGACACTCCACCCTGAATGGGGCTCTGAYGTGCTCCACCCAGCTGCCCAGGGGCTCCTGTGAGGGGACAGAACCGCCCAGCTGCAGGAGGAGTCCTTTCAGCCACCTCCCAGTCATTCCAGTACACAGATAACCAGGATTGCCCGTGATTCAAGGACTAGCCATGAGGTGAAGGACAACCGACCCTGAGAAGACAGGGGAAATGCACAGAATAAAGGAGCACTTTACTACACTGCAATAGCGCCCTTTGAGAGATTAAAAAAAAAAAAACTATCGTGAATGCCAACAATCAGAGAACAACTGGTTCTCGGAAATGAAAAATATGAATCACAAAATTAAAAAATTCTGCAYAAGGGCTATATAGTAGTAGCATGCAAACATCAAAAATCTTGAAAATGTGAAGGAAAAGCAGGGAAGATGGAGGAGCTATGGTCGACGTCCCGCAGGAGCTCTGAGGGGAAGAAGACAGACAGGGAGCGGATCGTGGACAATCAGCAGGGTTTGAGAATCAACAACTCTGTACCAAGAGGGAAGGAGGCAGTATCCTCAGAGCTCTGAGGGAGAGCAGTTTAAAGCTATTCTTTTCTGCTAAGATGTATCATTAGTAAATAAAGTAAAAGGGCAAAATGAAGACACTTCCAGGCAGGCAGGAACTCAGAAATTTGACTACCCAGGAGACCTACACAAAAAAAGTCACCTGAAAAATATCTCCAGCAAAGGAAATGGAGTAAAAGAAAGAAAGATGGGAATCAAGAAAAGTTGGGAGTTGAGCCCAACACAGAAAAACTGAAGGTAAATAACTTCATTACATGCAGGAGCATGCCTTAGGARGCTGAAGCAGGAGGATCCCTAGTTCAAGGCCAGCCTCAGCAACTTAGCAAGACCCTATCTTAAATAAAAAAATTAAAAAGGGCTGGGAATATGGCTCAGTGGTTAAGTGCCCTCAGGCTCAATCAACAGCATCCAAAAGAAAACAACAAAACAAAGATAAACCGGAAACAACTGAGTTGAGAATTTCACTTTTCAAGTTGGTACACAGCAAAGAAAACAAAGAAGTGAAGAGAGAGCCTTACAAAATAGCGGAACGTCTTGCTARGGACTCTGCTGACAGAGGGCTATTATCTGAAATATATAAGGAATTAAAAAACCCAACATAAAAGTACCCCACTTATACATGGACATAGGAATTAAACAGACACTTCTCAAAAGAAAAAATACAGATGGCCAAAAAATATATGAAAAAGCATTCAACATCATTAGCAATTAGGGGAATATAGATCAACACTACATTGAGTTCATCTCACCACAGTCAGAATGGCACTCGTCAAGAATACAAATAACAGGGCTGGACTGGGGCTCAGTGGTACAGCGCTTGCCRGGCATGCGTGAAGCACTGGGTTCGATCCTCAGCACCACATAAAAATAAAATAAAGGTATAAAAAATCATATAATACTTAAAAAAACAAATAATAATAAATGCTGCAGAAGATGCGGAGAAAAAGGAAGACCTTTACACTGGTTGGTGGGATTGTAAATCAGTACAACCACTGTGGAAATCAACATGGAGGTTCCTCCAAAGACTAGGCATGGAACCCCCGTATGACCCAGCTATAGCATCCCTTGGAGTTTATCCTAAAAGATTAAGGTCATYGTGCTACAGTGACACACCCACACCCACGCACACCCACATGCACAGCAGCCAAAACATGAAACCAGCCCAGGTGTCCATCAGTGGATGAATGGATGAAGAAAATGTGTATATACCCAATGGAGTTTTACTCAGCCATAAAGAAAAATGAAACTATGTCATTTGCAGGAAAATGGATGGGACTTGAGACATTATATTGAAAAAGCCAAACTCAGAGGGTCTTGATTGTGTATTTTCTCTCATATGTGGAAGCTAGAGAAGAAAAAGGAAAAGAAAAATGGTCGTGGGGAGAGTCTTATGAAATATTTATTATTATAAAGGGAAATCAGTAGAATGGAGGAAWGGACACCCCTATCCCYGCTTTGGGGTAAGAGGAGAGGAGGRAGGGGCAAGTGCAAGGAGTGATATTGGCCAAATTATCTTGTTATGTTGTGTGCATGCATGAACACGTCACAGCAGATCCCACCATTATGTACTACTGCAATGCACTAACAAAGAAAAGAGAAAGAAATCTTCCCTTTTTAGGAGACAAGTTGTACAGACATAGGATCACATTTCCTTGTGCACAGATCTAATCACTTTGCTTTCTAAATATAAAATTGAGTATTGTTCATTTCTATTTTTCTTTTCACTTATTATTTATTTATTTATTGGTACTGGGGATTGAACCCAGAGGTACTCTACCATTGAGCTCCACCCCAAGCCCTTTATTTATTTATTTATTTATTTTTGAGACAGAGTCTCATGAAATTGCTGAGGCGGGCCCCAAACTTGTGATCCTGGGATCACTGGTCACTGGGATTACAGGTGTGTGCCACCAAGCCTAGTTATTCATTGGTTTTCAATTTTTGAATAAAGGTGTTCCCCAAAACTCTAAGGGTTAATTGTAATTAACAAAACATAATAAAGTAATACAATTTCAAAGTAATATAATTTCATATAAATTTGTATTTTAATATAATCTGTTATATAATATTTAACTTGTTAATTAYAAGAAAAGAAGTGAGAGATGGGAGGGAAACAGAAATTCATTAATGATCTAATTTTTATAATAGTCAACAGATATGAAACTGATTAAGTAATAGAAATTTAAATACTTAAAAGTCCTAAGTGCTAAAAAACTAAAAATAATATAAGTGCTGAACATGGAGAGGAAGGAAGCCAAYAGTTATATCAGAAATGGATAAATCAGCTGGGCACATTGGTGCACACCTATAATCCCAGCATCTTGGGAGGCTGAGGCATGAGGATTGCAAGTTCAAAGCCAGCCTCAGTAAAAATGAGGTGCTAAGCAACTCAGTAAGACCTTATCTCTAAATAAAATACAAAATAGGACTGGGGATGTGGCTCAGTGGYCAAGTGCTCCTGAGTTTAATCCCTGGTTACCCCCSGCCCCACCACCACCACCAAAAAAAGAAATTGATAAATTAAGGAATAAAAATGTTATTCAAAATTGTAACTGAAACAAAACTGAAACTGTTAACAGTATGTTAACTCTGAGGAGTGGAACTGGGGTGGAAAGGGTGTCAAGAGGCTCAATTTTGTTTCTTTGTGTACTTTTTTTTTTTTTTTTTTTTTGGTATGGTACTAGGGATTGAATCCACGGGTGCTTAACAACTGAGCCATATCCCAGCCCTTTTAATGTTTTATTTTGAGACAGGATCTCAGTAAGTTGCTTAGCACCTTCCAGAGTTGCTGAGACTGGCCTCAAACTTGTGATCCTCCTGCCTCAGCCTTCTGAGTCAGTGGGATTACAGAAGTACACCACRGGACCCAGTTTATGTTTTAATTTCTTAACCAGGCACATATTATCTTTCATTTAAAAACTGAACTAAAAGGATAAGTAAAAACACATAGTGGGACAGAACAATTCTCCTTACACTTAAGAATTTCAAGGCTGCTTAATGAAAGCGAAGCTCAGGTGAGCAGTAGTTGAAGACTTTGGCCTCAGTGCCACATTTTAGGGATTTAGGATTTAGATGTCCCAGAGATGTTTCCCTGTGTTCCTATTATAGTTAAATCACTGTGAGTCTAAGAGAGAAAGAGAACAAGCGAGGCCATAAACTCCACTTTCTTCCACCAAAGGTGTCCCTGGTCACTCTTGCCTCTAACAGAGAGAGAGAGATCTATCGATGTTCTAAGTTTCAAAGTACTTACTCTTGAACACATGACATATTTACTTTGTTGACAATGGCAAGTGAACATGGCATCTCTAGGGATGGGTAATAGGCTGCAGATAGGCAGGGACTGTCTCTCTCTTTAAAAGTGTCCAATATTATAGATTAAAAGAAAGAAGTTTTGAATAAATAAGTTGTAAGTGTCTTGGATTATTTTATTCTACTTAACCTGTTTATCCAAAAGATAAACATTATCGACTTAAAAAATATGAAAATTGAAAACATTTTCTTACCTATCTATATTTCTTTCACTCGTGTCTTTCTTAAATGTTTCAAATATTTTAGGAAAACCTGTTGAACGAAACATTTAAAAATTTAGCCACTCTCTAAATCAGKGAAAGGGCAATTTTACTCTCCCCCTCGGAGGTGGGGAGGTGGCAGTATCTGGGCCGTTCCAAGCAAGGGCAGGGGTGGACGAGGAACATCCGGAACTCTGGACTGGTCCAGCAAAGCACCCCAGGCCAAAGGCCAAGTTTGGGGTTTGCAAACCCTGCTCTAACTGCTCTGTCAAAGGCAATGCCTGGAGGGGCTCCGGTTCAGGAAGAGAGGCCCCAGGGCTATTCATCCTGAGCTACAGTCCCCACCACAGTGGCGCCTGTGGCCCAGGGTGGGCCGGCTGGCTGTGTGGACCGCTGCTTGGGCTTGAAAGCAGAGCGGTTGGGGAGGAGGCTGAGGCCCCGGTGAGCCAGGGGCAGTGGCAGGGCCAGGGACAAGGGCAGGGGAGGCCCAGGGCTAGGGACAAGGGCCCGACCAGGGGGAGGCTAGGGACAGAGGCAGGGGCTGGGACAGGGCCAGGTGCAGGAGTGGCCCAGGGCTAGGGGCAGGGGCAGGGGCAGGGCAAGGCCAGGGGTGGCTTAGGGACAGAGGCTGGGGCAGGGCCAGGCCAATGCGGGGGCTAGGGCTGGGTCAGGGCCAGGGCCAGGGCCAGGGCCAGGGGCGGCCCAGGAACAGAGGCAGGGGCGGTCCAGGGCCTGGGGCAGGGCCAGACACGGCCAGGGTAGGGCCGGGACTGGGGCAGGGTTAGGGCCAAGGGTCGGGGCAGGACCAGGGCAGTGCCAGGGCTGGGGCAGGGCCAGGGCCAGGGCCAGGGTCGGGGCAGGACTGGACAGGGGCAGGGCAGGGCAGGGCGGCTCGGGCGTTACTTTTCCGGGAGGAGGTGCTGGAGAGCGTGATCTGGCTTGGCGTCCGGACCTCGCTGGGCGGCGTCGGGCTGTGGGGGGACAGCGGGCTCTCAGAGGTGCTCAACTGCTGGGTGAGAGTGGACGTGGAGCCCAGGCTGGGGCTCTCCACGCTGGCCAGACGGGGGTGCGAGGCCAGGAAGCCGTCATCGGTGTCTAGGACGTCCACGACCTTCCAGAGGTCCTCGTCGCAGAACTCGGAGGACTTGCCCTCGTCGCCCCGCCGCTCCTCTTCCCCCTCCTCCCGCTCCTCCTCCTCCTCCTCCTCC